CAGAAAAATATCCTAAATATATTCATTTATTAATCAGCATTTATATTTAAATAAATACTAATAAATATTACATTCTAATAAATAAATGTTGTATTAGACATTAGAAGTCCTTAAATCTCTACAGTCCCACCAATTCCACATGTAACATACTTAAAGTTAGGATGGAAAACATGGTTCTGATTTAATCTAAAATGCCAATATTAACTAACTTATTATGGCGTCTTTGAGCCAGTTTACTGCCTTACATGTTCCAGGATTTTCCTGCCGTGCCCTTGTAAAAATTTAACAGGCGTTTTAAAATAGCAATGGCACAGACAATACAGCAGTGGAGAATGTGGGGATTGGAAGTAAAAAAGCAATAAATCATCTGCGTAAAGGAATCCATCATGTTTAGCCTAACCTCTATAAACCTTGAATATACAGGGAGATGTGTGTGTGTGTGTGTTGGGTTGGGGGATTAGTTGTTTACATTTAACAACAGCAAGTATATGACCACGTTTCACATTAGGTTTTGATTATACCCAAATATTTAACACTCTTATGAATGATTTTGATACATTGTACAGGAAAGAAAACAATCTGCCCTTGATGATTTCCTTTACTGTAAGGAGATAATAATAACTCTTCAACTGAGATATTATTGATTAAACATTCTCATGCATTGTTTTAGCTTTCAATCCTTTAAGAGTTAATGCTGGCAGAGAGGATTTCTTTTTCTGCTTTTCATCACTAACTTAAAAATAGTGCAGGTTACTTCAAAGTAAAAGCTGAAGTTAGCTCATAAAGAAAGCTGGCTGATCTGTATAGCCTCAAATATCATCCAAGATCGTGTTTATGTCATTGATGAGTAGCAGGGATGCACACACAGCAGTCTATTGTATTAAAGCTTTGGTCTCACAGCTTTAAACCTCCATCTGGAATGTTTAAGTTGAAATTAGAAGCTAAACCGAAACTGTCTGGCGCTTTAAAGGCATTTTCTTGACTGCTGCTTACTCAGCCGTGTATGCTGCTGCAAAGTAAGCAGTTCAGCGTGCCTAGGTATGGTGCAGGAGTTTAATATTGCACAATACCATTTGGAATCAAGAGCATCAGACCGCAGTGTTACAAAGGACAACTAAAATATGTAGTGAACTGCAGTCACGACCAAAAGTTGCTGGGAGAACAGAAACGTTATTTACACACAGATTTGCTTTATAGATATATTTACCACCTGTTTCTCTGGTATGGTATTTAATAAAAATTATATATGTTAGAAATGATTTACTGTGAAACATCAAGTTGAAGTTTCTCAATCTCATGCGACTCTATGCAAATTCTCTGTCTACGCTGATGAAGATTTAATCAGATGTTGACACTATGCCCAACATTAAAAGTAGGTCTGATGGTTTGAGCCACTTTTTGTTAAGATTGGCATGTCTCTGACCCCTTGGATGACAAATACAACATTCAATTTTCTTTCCATATTGTCAGTTGATTTCTTAAATGTAAAGAAGATCATGAAATATTCAGAAGGAGCGTCGACCGTGATACATACATATGTTTGCTGTGCTGCTAAATACATTTCAGGTCCTCGTCTTTAGAGCTGAATAAAACAAATTCCTCACAATCCATACAATCATGACAAGCTTTTTTATGACTTGATTTCTTTATGTGGAAAAATATTTTCTTAAAACTTTGGTTTGAACCACTTGCAATTGGCAGGAAAAGACGACATAAAACATGAAGCTTATAAAGCTTATTACTTTGACAATTAAATACCACCAGAAAGGCTTTATGAAACAATAAACAACAAAATCAAGGTTGGGAAATTGGGACCCAGTAGCCCAGTGGTACTTAATGTCTAGCAACAGTATTTCTGATTGCATCTGTGTAGAAGTATTACTGAAGTAAAACCTCAGGGACTAACGAATGTATTTGTTTTGTAGAAACAATACAAGAAACAATTGAATAAGATTTGCTCCTTCAGAAAATATGAGTAATAACCGGATCTATCAGAAAACTTCATTTTCTACTGAGCGTTTTATTTGTTGTGTTTTTATTAAATGCAATTAAAACAAATGCATAGATTCAGGATGTAGAACAAGTTCCATTAAATCCAACAAAGGAACATATTGCTGGTGTTTTCTTCATTTGAAGCTTTAATTACGCTGATGGAAGCACATCTGTATGTTAAAATTAAACCTACCAGGAAAGTGCTGTAAAAAAAAAAAAAAAAAGATCAATATTGAATTACAGAGGTATGAAATCTACTGTGAACAAAGCCAACAGTTCTTGAGCGGTGAAATTACTTCAGCTTTGGTTGTTGTGCTTTGGGAATATTTACCCCTGGATGTAGACTGCCAGGCAATAGATGCCATTTTTATATTTGTTTATTTATTTATTTAATACAAATAAAACGTTTCATCAACAAGCACTGAGATATAGAGAAGTATCCTTAGAAAAGGGTGGATCAGTTCATGAAAGTTCAGTACATTGAGAGGTACTCAGTTACAGGTTAGATTGGCGTTTTTTTTGTTCTATTTAGATAAATTATGATGTCCTTCATGACCAAAGTGAGAGAAATGAAGTTATTTTAGGTCCAGCTTTCTTATTTCCGTGTGCTTGTCTGAGCTCGAACGTCTGGAAAATGTACAGGAAGTGTTTTAAAGAGTGTGGCCAGGATGTACGGCAGCTTCAGCGCTCTGCTAATGACCCGCTGATAAATGGAATCACGCACTGCGGGTGTCTGTGAATGTGCTCTACCTGTTTTAACACTGCATTTCTACATGCATGGAGCATAACAGCGTGTGTTCATGCATGAGGATCCATGTTCAGCCTTTTTACTAGGAAACCAGCTGTTGTTTCTCTGAGGCAAGAGGCCTGGCGGAAAACCTGTGATGTGAGAGAAGCAGACAGGAATGCACTGTGTTTTTTTCATGCAAACAATGTGGTATACTGTAAGTCAATGTCTGACACAGTATAGGTTTCTGAATGTGTAGAAACCAAATGCTTACCTAAACTCAAAGGACATACAGTAGAAGAATATTAGCAGTAAGAAGAAATCTGCTTTAATTAAAACCCGTTGGTATAATAGGTTGCTGTAGGTGAAAAAATGTCTAAAGTTTGCAGAAGAAACAACTTTGATTCAGTATTGATAGAGATGTTCACAATAGAGCTGTGTGGCCAGTTTCCAGCCTTTTCTTGCTAAAGGTTTGGCATAATGATAGTCAATGAAACAGAAGTTAAAAGCTCGGATAAATAAAATGGGCTGTAGAACTTGAGCCTTTCTGTTACCAGCTGCAAATCCTGCTCTCTCTCACTGTCTGGCAATATTTAAATGAACTGCCATCCCCTCAGTATGTGTTATAAAATACTGTTTCCTTTTAACCCTGTAATGCCAAATGTATCATATTTGATACACACGGTTTCTGAAATGTTTTGCGTCTGACACCTTTTGCATAATTTATGGTAAAAACTTTGCTCAAAATCCTATTGTACACAATCAGATATACCTGATAACAGACGGCAGAAGACTACAAAAAAAATAATCTTGACTTATCGCATAGTAATAAATTATATATATCAAAAATGTATTTCTGTTTTTTCTTTTTACATATTTTGTTAAAAGGCCAAATAAGGACTTCAAACCAAAAAAAAAGTAATTTTCAGTTTTGTTTTATTCTTGGATCGGGCTTTAAAGGGTTAAGAATGCTCACATCTCTCTTCTGACTTGATCTTCAAATACCTCACTGATGCTAAAAATAGCATAAAAACTTCTCTCCACATTACAAACCATTGTTTTTTCCAGCTTTTTTTTTTTTTACGTCACTACACTGTCACAAGTACAGAGCAACAAAATGAATTTGCTGCATTTAAAGGGAACAGCGTGGGGGGTTAAGGGTCTTGCTCAGGGACCCAGAGTGGCAGTCTGTGGGAGTGGGGCTCAAACTCAGAACCTTAGGATTCCAAGCTCTATGCCCTAACCACTAGGCCACCGATCCCCTTACAGATAATTTTTTTTTTCCTCAACACCAAAGAACTCTGGTTACCCTGACTTAGATGCTTTGTTTACCGTTTAAAAAAATGAACCATACGTTATTCTTTGTTTGTAATTGTATTTCAAAATGGAGGTCCCATGGCTTCAGTGTGTGTTAGAACCCTTTGGGGGGAAAAAGGCCGCTTTATTTCTGTGACCTGCAGGAATCTGCTTCCACATCATCCCCCCTCTCTCAGCTTCCTGCTTCTCTAGTAAAGATTGCTCAGCACACACCAACTCCATCTACTTTCCTGTAAATCTCTGTGGGTTTCTTTCTCTTCCTTTGTGATGTTTTGTTTTGTTTTTGTTTTTTCAGAATAAGCTGAAGGTTATTTTTCTGTGATTAGCTGAGCGGCCTCTGCTGCTCCATAGGGGTTGTTTGGAAGGTGACTGATGCGTAAAATGTCTCTCTGTGTGCAGTTTTCATAGTGAGGAAGCAATCTAGTGAAACAGCATCTACAAAACAAATGGTACAATAGCTCCTGTGGTAGTAATGCTGGCTAACATGTATGAGTTCTGAAAGTAAAAAACAGCTAACATCAAGGTCTCTCATTGTAATTTTAGGTTAAATTTGTGATTTTTGTTTTCCACATTATGATGGTCTGCCCTATTTGTTGGTGGTTCGAAACCATATTTTAATATGTTCTTGATTTTATTTGTAGAGTCCGCTCAGCGGGTGTCTTTCTCTGTTAGAAAGCTTTCACTACGTTGCATCATTTTCATTCTCTGTATACAATTTCCCACACTCCTCCTTTCTCTCTAGTCTTTTTGCAGCATCTTTCTTGTTTCTTACATCTCTCTACTTTTTTATTCTTTTAATGCTTGAAATGTTGCTTCATCCACCCTTACTTCCAGATCTTGTTAAATTTTGAATGCATATCTGTGTCCTCTCTGATAATTCTTATTCTAAAAGAGCTCTTTGTTCTTCAGTACCTGCACTCCTCTGATTTGTCTCTACTATTGTTCCCCTCTGGCTCCCCCTCAGGTACTCTGTGGAATCTGTCATCCTATGAGCCCCTGAAAATGGTGATCATCAACCATGGGCTGCAGACCATGACCAACGAGGTCATCATCCCCCACTCTGGTTGGGAGCATGAACCCAACGAGGACTCGAAGCCACGTGATGCAGAGTGGACTACCGTCTTCAAGAACACGTCCGGCTGCCTTAGGTGAGGTTTGCATTAAACTCCACTGGACCCAGAATCAGCTCACTGTGGCATGTTTCAGACTTCACAGCTTCCTGTTTCCAGCTATTTTACTCATAACATTCCTGAACCATATTATTCCTACTCCTTGAACCGTTTAATGACCTACAAACTTCTATGAACTAAATTGGGATTTCATCTTATTGACCGGAGGTAACAGACAGTTGATTAGGTTCTTAGTTAGTTTTAGATTTATACATTAACTTGATCTTTCTAGACATTGTATGTTTTGATAGGAACCTCTCCATTGTAGCTCTGGACTGAATCTTTTTATTGATGGAGGGTAAGCCACCACCTCAGCCTCAGTCAGGGCTGGTTGTCCTCCAGAATAGCCCTTCATTCAATCCCCTCCATCTTCCCTAAACTGTCAACAACTTCCTCACATCATGGCACTGCCAGCCTCCCATTGCAGTGAACACTGTGCAGTTAGGGTTAGATTTCCGCCACATGTAGACTTTTGCTTGCCATTTACAAAGTTAAAGGGGTACGCCATTTTTTACATTGGGCCCTTGATTTTACATTATTACATCATGTTCTACTCATCCATATGAGTTTTGTGTTATTTGGAGCCGTTCTGAAGATTTTCCGTTAGGTTATATCCAAGTAACGTCTTCCTATGGGCAACGACTTGAAGGCACAAACTAAACTGTTCATAATTTATTCTTTATGGTTACGCCAGCATTCATAACATGTAGGCGAATCACTTTCTCCCAGACATCCGTGGTTATATTTTTTTATATATTTATGTTTTAAAGACAAAGCAGCGCGTGTATGACGTCATCCATGCCCGCCGGCTACCATTCATTCATCCTGTCCGCTTAACTGCTGCTAGTTTTAATCGTATGCCTGGAAGATGTCTAGTGCTACTACCACAGATGATCTCGCTCTGGAAATGGAATTGAACAATTCAGGTTAGCCAGAATGAATAGAAGGGGTAGAGAGTAGCCGCCTGTGGCCAGGGCTTCCTGTTACGACTCCAGTCCGCATGCGCGGATGACGTCATTCACGCGCCGCTTTATTTTTAAAAGATATAAATATAAAAAACATACCCGCGGATGTCTCGGGGAAAGTGATTCGCCTACATGTTAAGAATGCTGGCGTACCATAAATGATAAATTATGAACAGTTTAGTTTGTCCCTTCAAGTCGTTGCCCATAGGAGGAAGTTACGGAATATCTTCAGAACGGCTCCAAATGACACAAAACTCATATGGATGAGCACAACATGATGTAATAACGAAAAAGCAAGGGCCCAATGTACCGTATTTTCACGACCATAAGGCGCACCGTACTAAAAGGCGCA